TTATAATCTCTCCTTTGAGTTGGGTTCATTTCCCCTGCTGGTTAACTCTTAAACCAGCACAAATGGATTTTAAACACTGAAATTAACCTTACTAAATGATCTTCCATAAAGCTGCAGTTATAGTGACTACAGCGACTACTTAGGAATATGGCAGAAGTGTTCTTGTTTTGTTTAGTGATGTCACAAACTCTGTGTGAGGAGCTCCTGCAGTGAAGTTTTCATGTTTTGATTGCCAAACCCCATGGTCTCAACAGAAGCATCTCCCAGACATCGTATAATATTATGCATCATGTCCTTTTGTGCTACAGGGTCCTTTTGTGCTACAGCCCGTATGTGCTGTAATGGCAATGCTTTTTACAGATTGAGTGACTGAAAGTTAAAAAGAACTGATCTGCGACAGTTATCTCCTGTATTAAAGCTACTGATAATTTCAGAATAGAACGATGTGGCTCTTGATTTTTTCACTGTTTTGCCTTTGATTGTGGGGGATGGAATTGGAAACAAAGTGAGTGTCAAGAATACAAGTGTGGAAGTGGTGCTGAAAGATCAGTTGAAAAGATAAATATGTATTTGGGGAAAAAACTCAGTTGTACTCAGACAAATATACATTAAAATACTTCAGAAATTTTTAGTGCTTGCAGTAAGGGCTTTAGTATATTTTCTAGTCTGTAAAGACCAGTTGGCTCTCATCTGTAACTAGCTGGTTCATTTTTTAACGTTACTTTAACATTTTTTAACTCCCCAGAACTGCTTTCTCTCTGTGTATGTTGACCTGAGGAAACTCAAAAATGAAACATTTGGGTTATTTCTGAGCTTCCTTGAAAGTATGATGTAAATGCAACTTCATACTTAAGGACATATATGTAAAAATTTCTTGTCCTGATCTGTTTTGCAGTTTTAGATCACTTGGGTGTTGATAATGCAGGAGGTGTGACCTTGAAATGTATGGTGAAGGTTGTGTTGAGTATGGTGGTAAGACCGGCTGCCGAATGGGTCCCACGCGCCTCATGCGTTGGGAAGGGGATTATGAGAGAGCCACATGCCCTCTGCAGCAGGAGTTCTTGCTGGAAGTGCCAGCTGCAGAGAGTGTCATTTGTGTAGCTGATTGCTACCGCCCTGTGAAACGCAGCTGCTGGTAGAGAACAGTCCAGGTACTGAACAGCAGAGACATTTACTGGCGGCTGTTCTTTGTTGACGTGCCAGCAAAGGGGGAAGTACCCAACCTATTTTCTTTTGAAAAATAATGAAAACATATGACAGGTTATATCCAGAATTGAGCAATGTGCATCAAAAGGGAAGGTTTTTCTGCTTTGTTTATCTTCCCTGTTTTTCTTTCGTATTATTCTTGTTCATGTCCTTGCTTTTAAATATTTATGCTAAATCACAGTGAGAAAAGGGGGGTGGGGGTGTGTGAAACATTGCTGACTGCTTCTGTTTAGAAAAAACGAACCAAACTCTTGTATTATATAATACAGGTTCACTCCTGGAAATTTGTGTTTTAGTAATATACTTCTTTCTCTTTGTTTTTCAAATGCCTGTGCTATTTTAAAAATTCTGCTTTAATCTAATGCTTGCAGAATAAAGTTGGAAAAAAATTAAGTGCTGTACTGTAACTATATATATATATCTGTAGCATAAATGATACTTCTTAAATCCTGGAAGTTTGTGTTTTCATATAACCTGGAGGCCCACCATTGAACGGTGTGGATCCATGGTACCACTGAGATTCTGACATTTTAATTTTTAATTTTTTCAAGTGCCTTCTGTGTGACATTACTGTACTCTCATGGTCTGTGTGACTACAGTTGTACTGAAGCTTGAAACCTGTCGCATATATATTACCAAGGTTTTGGTTGCCTGTATTTTTTTGATCTAGCTGTTGATTTAACCCTTTGGGAATAGCCTTGCAAAGAGAATAGGTGAAGCATCTTAAAACAATTTTACACAGTGCAGTAAGATACATTTTCTGAAGTTGAATATATATTCAACCATAAAACCATAAGCCTTATAAGAACCTTGCATTTACAACAACTTTGTCATGTGGTAGATGCGGGTTTTTTAGATCTGGGTGGATTAGCTTAAATTCATAGAAGCGGTGGAAATGGGAATCTCTTAATACAACTGGCTGACGTTTGTCTGGTAGGGCAAAGCTGTAGTGATAGATCACAAGGGAAGAGTAGAACTGGTAGACTTTTAGTTTTCTGTATCTCTTTGATACAAAAAAACCCACCAAGATTTATTTACAAACATATAAGTTAAACCCAAGAAATGCAATATTGATCTTTATGACAGGAAATATGTACAAATATACTAACTATTTTCTGTTTTCTTTACAGAAACCATAGCCCATTAATGAGTTTTGGAGCCAGTTTTGTCAGCTTTTTGGTGAGTAGATGAGAGCACAGAGTATACATCTGTTTTGGTTCGTGTTTGTATGTGCATGTGTGTATTCATAATGCTGGATACTCTAAATTTGGTTATTTTTATGAAACTAATTTTTTTCAAATTTTTAGATTAAATTTAGCATCACATCATGTAAAGCTTGTATACTTGTGTGGTTTAAATAAAAAGTAAAGGTTCTGTGATTAAGCTTCTCAATGTATGAAATATTTATGTGTTCCATTAACAGAGGCATAATAAAACACTCTCTTAAGTGAGCAGTGAAGTTATTTAATTAATTAATTGAAATAAAACTCACAAATGCCTGTTTTTCTGATAACATTTGCTACTGAAGATTTCTCCATCCATGCTGCTGCGTGAAAGTTGTTAATTCAATCCATTGACTTTACTTCCTTTCTGGATATATGAGAACTGAGAATATCGATTGACTAAAAAGTCATAATGAGCAAGATAAGTCTGTTAAATGCTTTTTAGAAGTTAGAAATTATAATACCTTATATAAAACTGAGCAAGTATATTATAAAATGTTTAAATCTTATTTTTTAGACTGTCCTTATTCTGACTTTATTGTTTAATCCTCTCGTGTCTCACGAGAAATTATCCATGGTAATACTCTTTTTAAAGACAGAATTTATTACAATGTATCAGAAATACATGATTTGTAAATGAAATAAATTTGAATTCTTTCTAGTATGCAATATGGACAAATACACTGGTTAAGACATCTGCTGGGGCATATGCTTTCTTTTAAGTCACTGGAGGGGAGAAAGGAAAGAGGGACAATCTCTCAGGCTTGCTTATCTGAGTTGATGTGCTGAACCAGTGTAACATCAGAGTGCAGCATCAGAGGATCTTGAATGTATCTTGCTTAGCTGCTGTTCTAAATATAGCACCAGCACTTGGTGTGTCTGTGTCATTCAGAGCTTTTGTTTAATAAAGCTCCAAGAAAAGAACTTACTTGTCCTGAAATTCAGCAGTAGTTGGAGTCAGATGCGGTTTCTTTTTCTTCCTACCTATATAGGGACTGTGATTATTATTTTGAAAAATGTAATAGCTATTTCTTGTTACTGACTTTGGAGGCCTGTTATTTATATGAATTTATTACATAACAGCAGTACCTGCACAGATACAAATCATGCCTTACATAACAATAACTGAAAATGAATTGGTATAAATTCATCATGACAGTGCATTCAATTTGACTGCATGTGAAGCTCTGAGATGGGGGCAAGGACTTACTGAGTTCTGAATTGATTTGTCTTGAAATGTTGATAAAGTATTCAATTCTCTAGTTTGGTGTTTCTGTGTTGAAAATATTTGTACTTATGTGTATATTTTACTACTTTTGTTTAAAGAAGTTTTATTCTCAAATTTTTAGGGAAACTTTTACTATCCATAGCTTCTGTAGAAATAAAACTATTTGTGCTTTCTATCATTCAAATGTGTTTGGTTTTTGGTAGAATGCCATGATGACATTTGAAGAAGAGAAAATGCAACTGGCATGTGATGACTTAAAGGCTACAGAGAAACTTTGTGAAAGTGAAGAAGCTGGAGTTATAGAAACAATCAAGAATAAAATTAAAAAGAATGTAAGAACATAATTTCTAAAATATGGATTTGTCTACTGGATAAATATTTCTGAAAACTTCCTTTCTGTCCTCCTTGTATTTTGAATAAATTATTTTTGATATGTGAAGAGCAGTTGAGATTAATGATAAACTTGGAAATGAAGTGAAATATTTTGCTTGGATTTCCTAATTGTTGTAAAATACACATTCTCAGGTGATTCCTCTTCTAAAGCAGCATGTTGTGTTTTGTTAGTAATTGTTTTTTAACATGTCAAATTAGTGATCTCTTAAATTATCTCAGGAAGCTTGTAGCCTGTCTAATTCAGACTAATTTTAATTCATACATGCTCTAGTAATGTTCAAAAGTCATGACGTTGAGGCTGCAGAATGCTGTGAGCCAGGAATATTCCTAGGGAATTTTCCTTCCTTTTTTAGATTTTTTCATTCTAAATAATAAAGGAAGAATGAAGCGTGAAGATTGAGGACTAGTAAAAGTAATAGTATAGAAATGTGTAGTGAATGGCCTGTCTAGTGTGACATAGCAGAAAAAGAAAGCCATTTCTCTTCAGTATTTAGTTTACTTGCTAAAAAGTATTGAACCTGACATACTTCACTCTCTGCTCCTAAGAGGCACTATGTTTTCCCTGCCAATTGTCATATACCTCTTTCTGTGCTTTTCCTATCTAACATCTTTTAATTCCATATCTGATGCATTTAGTAATAATTAAATGAAATTTAAATCTGTTCTGAATATTTGTAGAACCTTAGGAAAAATAACTGCTAGTATATGTGTAAAATTTCTCTATCAAGTAGGATTTTGCTTGATGACCTGTCAAAGGAATTTTAGAATAGTTTTGCCCTTCAAAATGCTGCATTAGTTTAGTAGCAATACTACCATTTGCAGTTAATTTTGCCTTTTTTGATTTCTCAGATTTAGAGAAGTATTGTCTATTATCTTTGTTAATACTTTGCTCTGCTCTGTCTTTGTATATTCCAAACAGGTTGATGGACGAAAATCCACTCTATCCATGATAGATCGTCTACAAAGACAAATAATTGTAGCAGACTGTCAAGTCTACTTGGCTGTGCTCTCATTTGTAAAACAAGAGTTATCAGGTGTGCTGTGTCTTTCATGTTTAGATATATTTTTGCATGATATCCTCTTAATAAAGCGTGATCATAAAGTCGCAGTATAAGGATAGCAATAAGGATGATTGTTTTTAAGAAGGAGCACAGTTCCAGTTGAAACATTCCAAGATGGGTACACTTGCAGAAGTATTCTTCTATCTTTGTGTAGGTAATGGTGTAGGATGAGATGGCTTGCTACAGATCATGCTTTTTGCTTTTTTTGTACCAATGGTCGCATTCAACTGATTTTCCTTAGGCAGGTTGGAGTCCTTTGCGTGTTCTCATAGAGGCATTGGAGGAGTTGGTGTGAAGATGGGTAGCAAAGATGGGCAGCATCTGTGTGCTTGATGCAAGATAAAAGAGGCCATTAAGTCCAGGCTGCTGACAAACTGCCAGTGAAAGCAATTTTAAATGAAGTGTGTTGAAGATGGAACTGCTGAATCAGTTCTTATTCTGTGGCCACCAGAGTGTGTCCTTGTATGCCAAAGAGGTTAATCCTGTTGTGTTGAATATAAACTCCTTCTCTGGACTGCAGGACCATCTCTAATGTTTTCTTGCATTCCTGCATCTCTTCCATAATCTTAAAACATGCTTAAAACATGCTTAAAACATCCACGAGTTTATAGAAAATGTGGTCAAGGTCGTATATAAAGTGTGAGCGCATTCTCAGGTTCTCACCAAATCAGTGAAGAGCAAGAGATGGTAAACAGACTAGATTGTTGGTGAAAACCCTGCTGATCAGCTGAAAGGAATCAGGGAAATAACATTCACATTTTTTAAAATAACACCTAAGATTTTCAAACAAGGACATAATGCTTTCTGTGATGTGCAAACTTGTTTTCTTCCAAGCCGTGGCGTCAGGAATGTGTTGGGCTGTAGCTAGCAGAAATTCAGGGGATATTTCTGTCTGCTGTGTGTTTAGTGCTGCAGAAAGACTTCCTTGCTATTTTTGATACAGTTCTGGGTTTTTGTTTGTGATGGTTGTTTTTTTTCCCTCCCTCTTGAAGCTTTTTTTCTTTGGTTCAGTATGTATTCTGCAGCTGCATAATTTGGTTGGATGCTGTAATTGAGGGTGGTGTCTGCTCTTTTCTCTCTTGTCTGCTGCTCAGAGAACTGAAGTGGGTAGCAGAGAGAGCACTGCACAACATGCAATACATTTGGGTAACTCTACTGAGTAAAAAAATATACCTGGAATCTTTAGTTAAAATTCCAAGCAGCTAAATGCTACTTACTGCCATTGCTGAACTGTTGGGTCCATTATTTTGGTTTTTAAAGTACATTATCTTTCTGTTTATGTATAAACATCTTCTGTTTTTATCATATTTCTGTACAGAAATAGCCACCAGATTATTGAAATGACTGTAATTAAAAAAAAAAAAGGCAGACAAATACTTCTGATCGGTGGATGGGTGAAAATTTTCTTGTTTGTCTTCATGGAACAGTTTGACAAGAAGCATATGATGACATGCAATCTGCTTTCTCATATGCTTAACACATTTTCTTTTCCACCCTCATGGATGTATTAGAAATAGTTTGATCATAAATTTGGTAACACAGCAATTTACATTGGCTTCCCATGGCAATATTGAACTACCTCTTCTTGATATTTTCCACTACTGTCATGGGTCTGACTACTTTCATGCTGGGAAATCAGCATGAAATTTTTTGTTAAAATTTAATATAAATTTTTATGTTAAAAAAGTTAGGAATTCATTGTTATAATTTATTTGATTGTTTCATATTGGTATATCAGTAGTATGTAAATTATTTAGGGTTAATGACAGCACGCTGATGGAAGTAAAGCCTAAAACTATACTTTTTTTCCACCTAACATATCTTTTCTGTTTCGTCCTTGCATTGAAACACAGCGGTTAGCTATTAGGAGAAGCACTACTGTAGGATAAGTAAAATGTGGGGATGTTCTTATTATTGGTGTGCTGCATTGCTGTGCATAGCTGTCTGAGCATTCATCTTGTGGTGAGCCACATAACTTCTAAAGTACTCTGTGCAGGCAAAAAATGACCTAATTGCTTAAAAATGAAGTAATGTTAGTCTTGTAATGCATCTGAATCAAGGCAAGGGTTTCCATTTTTATTATAATGCTTTAATATGGATCTCAAGATAGAGGATTAATTTCTTGTAATACCTCAAGTTCATGTTGACAGAACCCATCTGTCACTACTGAGAATACAAATGTTGCAGTCTTTCCCAGTACAGTTTTTTAAGACTATCAAACTAGCCTTATCCCTTCCTCATACAAAGAGAATCCAAAAAGATGTAACCTTGTCTGTGATATTACTTTCTCTGGAAATGTTTTGGGTTTTTTTGCGATTGGAAGGATTTTTGTCAAAGGCATCAAAGGCTTGTAAGGAGTTGTTTGGTATTAATAGCATTTTTCTTTTCTTTGACACACACCACCTGTTATGATCTAATTCTGGCATTAGTTATAACACTTATCTCTGCAAATGTGGTTATATTTGTTTAGAAGACTGCTGCTATAACCATGTTTTTATTTTATTTTATTTTTAGTTACTGTCTTTGTCACTGCAGTTCCTAACTCTTGGGTCTCTGTCACAGACATAATGCTGGTATCTGCTTTTATGATTAATGTATACAAGGATATTCTGTTGGTATCCTGTTTAACACTTGTCATTATCCAAGGATGTGCTTACAAGATGATTGCTGTGTAAATAGGCAAATCTTTATTTTAGATATCAGGCCTTTTTTTACCCTCCTATAAAAATCATAGTGAGACCGAGTATTCTGTCATTCTCAGCTGAGAATGCTCAAGACCATATTTTTTAGGGAAATTCAAGTACTCATACTGCATTTGAAATTGAGGAAGTTAGGCAACTGAGAAATAATTTAAAACCATAAAATTTCTGCATGCTTTACTTTTTTTTCCATTTTTTTTTTAATTATAAAGACATTATGTTCATGTGAGGGGCAGGGAAAGGATGATGTTGAAAATCTTACTATCTAGCCCAAAGGAAAGGCTTTTCTTGGTATTTTGCAATTGATTGTCTTTTAACAGAATTTGGGCTTAAGGGAAGAGATGTAGTCTCTTTTGAGTTTTGCTTTTCTCTGTTTGCCAGGCAGCTCTTTCATCTGTGCTGTATAGTGGAGCAAGATCCAGTGTGAAGTTCTTTGATTTCTCTTTCTTTCTGACAGTTGTATTGCTGTGTAGTTGACTGGAAGTGCCTTTGTGTTGCGTGTTGTAAAGTCTGTGGTTGTGAACACTTAAGTTTGTAGTGCCCAGTATGCAAGACCTCTTTGAGAGAACAGTAGCTATTACAAAATCCTTTATACAAGAAGTTAATGCAAATGGAGAGAGCATCCTAGAGTTTGTGAAATAGCATTTACCACTTAAAATGGCTTCTGAAATGTGTCCTTGAAGTAGTTTTTTTCCTTTGATTTTTAGCTTACATAAAAGGTGGGTGGATACTCCGAAAAGCCTGGAAAATTTACAATAAGTGCTATACGGACATTAACACACTTCAGGAAATATATCAGAAGAAAACAACTCAGGAATCCTTGACTTCTGATGCTGCAAATGATAATCATATTGCTGCAGAAGGTGTAACGGAGGATTCGCTAAACAGACTGAAAGGTGCTGTTAGCTTTGGATATGGACTTTTTCATCTTTGCATATCCATGGTGCCCCCAAACCTGCTCAAAATCATCAACCTGCTGGGTTTTCCTGGAGACCGCCTACAGGGGCTTTCCTCACTGATGTATGCAAGTGAAAGTAAGGACATGAAGGCCCCTTTAGCTACGTGAGTAGCTATATTGAAATGCTTTGGTAGATAACTTAGTACTAAAAGTAAGTAACTGGAGAAAAGTCAAAACCAAAAGGTCATGTTGCTTTAAAGGAAACAACAGCAGGTAAAATAAACTCGTAGTTTGTTGTTTAATGTGCCATGGTTTAGTAAATTCATCACTTACTATTGTATGAGATCTCTCTGCTGTTAATTATTTACATATATTTGGGATTTATGTCAATATTTTGCTGTATTCTTCAGTACCTGCAGTTCTCATGTCTAGTTACTTAAATGCCAGCAGAGTAAATAGAAGCTCCCCCGAAGTCTGTGTAGATTTACCTGAATTACATTCTCTGCTATGGAGAGCATACTATTTTGTCTGAGTCATTGATCTCATTTAGCTATTTTTCCCTTACTATTGGCCCAAGATCTTTTCAATTTTTTAATTTTTTTTAAATTTATTTTAGCATCTCAGTAAAATGAGATGTTCCTTATAGTATTTTTAAAGGAGTATTTTTTGTGTATTCTTTTTCCAAGACTTCATACTGCATTCAGGTCTTTTTAAGAGGTAGACGTAATTTAAACTACCCTCATAAATTATTTTTACATTATCTACAAATTAATCCTTTTATTACTGGATCTACTGCAGGTACTACAAGATGTTATTTTTGAAACATTGACAAGCAGGAGAATTGGATTTCTGTTTGTTTTAAAAAGGTTAAGATTAAATGTTCCCGTAGATTCGTTCTTTCTCCTTTCTGGGGAAGAAAAATTATATTTTTTGGGAATGTTTCCTCCTTAAGATAGTCTTGGAAATCTTTGTGCTCTGCCCTTGTTTCCAGGAGCGATGTAGGTCATGTAGATGTCTGCCCTTCTGAAAACAGGATGTATTTCTTTTTGACATTGATTTCAAGTATGTCTGCTGATGTGTGTTTAGGTTTTTTGTTGTTTGTTTTTTTTTTTTTTGTTAGTTTTTGGGGGTTTTGGAGGGGTTTTTTTCCTTTCTAATGAGCAATTAGTTTTCAAAGTTTTCCTGTTAGTTTTTCTTTTTTCAAAATTGACGGAGTTCTAAAGGCTCAACTGCTTTGATGCAATGAGCTTTATTGTTACCTTGCCTTTGGGTGACGTGCACTGAATTGTATGTTCAGGTGCAGTTTAGGAGTATGTTGATGTATGGCAGTAGCATTGTGTTTGTTTTAAAACCAGATTGCATAATAAAAAATTCATGTCTATCTTTGTCTTTCATAATAATTTAAAAATTTCTCTGTGTAGAACGTAATCCTTAAATTTCTGTTTACAAGCTGTAATCATTTTTACTCTTACATTTCTTTTAGATTGGCTCTCTTGTGGTACCACACAGTTGTTCGCCCCTTTTTTGCCCTTGACGGCAGCGATAACAAGGCAGGATTGAAAGAGGCAAAAGAAATTCTTGCAAAAAAAGAATCTGCTTATCCAAATTCTTCTCTGTTCATGTTCTTCAAGGGAAGGATACAGCGATTAGAGGTATCGCATGTTTTCATCCTTTAGACTGATTTCTCCTCCTCACCCTTTGTTATTTTATGTTTTTCTGATGTCACTGAACTAAGCAAGCTTCAGCAAAGTGTGAGATACATGGAAAGATAATCATCTCCGTCAACAATAAAAAGATAATAAGAATGGATTAAATCCTTCCTAGTTTCAAGTTCAGATGCAAAACCAGCTCTTCCGCTACATCTATCCGAATTAACATTTTGAAATTGTTTTTCAGCTACTTGATACATTTGTGGGCTGTGCTAAAAGGAAGTGCTTTTGGTCACTCAGGAGTTTCTTGAGCTATTTCAGTTTTGCTTGTGAAGCTAAAATGTTGAGTATTATCTGCTGAGTACATAGCATTTATCTTCCCCTTTTTGTTTTATGCATTGTTCATATACAGCTAATTCTCTGGAGTAATTTCCCTTAAATAACTGCTTTTGCTTTTGAGAGGTCAAACCAGGATGTTTTCTGTTGCTAAGGGTGAGCTCTGACCCAAGCCGAAATGTATTCAGTAAGAATGTGTTTGTGAATGCTATTGCAAAGTGCTATTCAAACACTGCAGGAGCCTTTTGGGTTTTGGCTAAATTATTCTCTAAGAATCTCTGAGAATAGGAGACAAGTACTTCATACTACTCAACTCCTAGCTGCTGCTTTTATCAGACCAGAATATTTTCTGAACAATTATACTAACCAGAAAACCTAACACAAAAGCACAAACCCAGAATGTTCAAACCCTTCATCTCAACATCATAATTACAAGAGCTCATTGAGATATTAATATTGGTGGTCATTCTTTGCTGGGGTTTGCAATTAAGTCTTTCAAATACAGCTAAATATTCTGAGAGGTAACAAGAGTAACAGAACAGAGGAGTAGGCTTCAGTGGACTATCAGATTTTGCAGGCATATTCTTGCATGGGATTTGAATGTTATTTTTCTTTTTTTGCTGTTGATTTGAAGACAGTGGTGCATTTTAGGAATTACATTGTCACAGGCAAGTTGTCAGTCCTGGGGAAGTATTGCTGTTGTCTGAGTAGGAAAGATTTTGGTGGCTTTTGTTCAATTGTATGCGTATTTCATTCTTATGGTAAAAATCAGATTTGTCAGGAATAGCTACATAATGAAGGCAAAATGCAAGTACATTGATTACCAGGGTATGACTTGGTATTTTTAGTGTAATGAGAAATAAAACTCAACTGGTGCTTCTGACTTTCAGAGCAGGGTAGGGTGAAAGCCTAAACATAAGTTGCTAATAAACTGAATATATCTTTCTATGTGTAAAGAGAATATGTTTGGGATGAGTGTCAGTTTTGTGAAGTTGGTCCCTTTCTGGAGTACCAGTGTGTTCCAGAGGAGAGTTCGTTAAATGTAATCTTACAGTATTAGTGTATGAAATGATGCAGTATGTAGATGCTGCAGTACTGATACTGAAGTTTAGGTCCAGGTGAAACTTTGTGCCAGAGACAGCGTGGCCATTTTAATGAAGTTGGTTAGCTTAGGCACACAGAATGCTGTGTAGCCATGACCCTTAATCAGCAGAAAGCTTATTGGTTGCCAACAGGAATTAAAATGTCCCTTTGCTATTCATGTGTGTGTTTGCATGAGAGCTTGTCTATTCAGCAGCCTTTTCCCCCTCTTCGTTCCAAGTGGTGCTGTATCAGGGAGGTTTTGCTGTGTCTGAATGTTTTGGTTAAATGTCTAGGGCTCTTCTGTAGATTTTATTATGAATTTACATGCTTAATTTGCTTGAATGCTGTTGACATAATAGTGAAGGCAGGTATGTGACTGGTGGCAATGGCAAGGAGCTGTGCTGGATTTCTGCATGATACACTTGTGGTTACATGTGTCTTGAATCTGGGCATTGGTCTTACAGCATCCATTTCATATTAGTGCGGCCAGCAGGAACAGGGAAGTGATTGTTGCCCTGTACTCAGCACAGGTGAGGCTGCACCTTGAGTCCTGTCTCTAGTTCTGGCCTCTCACTGCAAGAAAAACACTGAGGTGCTGGAGAGTGTCCAGAGAAGGGCAACAAAGCTGGTGAAGGGTCTGGAGCTCAGTTCCTGTGAAGAGTGGCTGAGGGAGCTGGGGTTGTTTAGCCTGGAGAAAAGGATGCTCAGGGAGTATTTTATCACTGTCTACAAGTGCTGCCTGAAAGGAGGTTGTAGCCAGGTGGGAGTCAGCCACTTCTCCTAGGCAAAAAGTGACAGGATGAGAGGACACAGCTTCAAGCTGTGCCAAGGGAGGTTCAGGTTGGACATCAGAAAGAATTTTTTCACAGAGGGGGTTGTTAAGCGTTGGGACAAACTGCCCAGGGAGGTGGTGGAGTCACCATCCCTGGAGGTGCTCAAGAAACAACTGTATGTGGCACTTAGTTCTCTGGTTTAGTTGACAACGTGGTGATCAATCAGAGTTTGGACTGTATGATCTTGGAGGTCTTTTTCAACCTAAATGCTGCTGTGGTTCTGAACCAGAAGTGCTCAGATACTCATAGATTACAGACTAATATGGTGAGTTGTAATTTCCTTCTCATTTCCGAGGTGAGCGAGGAGAGCTCCTGCAAAGCCTGGGAAGTGCTTATATTGCCTTTCTTGAAACTGTTAGTGCACCAGTAGGTTTAAATTCTTTCCACTGGGCATGGGAATATTATTTGAGGTGGCTTACCAAAATTGGGAAGTCTGTACTTTAACCTATATGTACATAAAAGTATACCTGGAGCTGGGAGAAGGCAGAGTGAGAGGTGGTGTTCTGGATCTTACCTATTTCTGCTTTTCGGCTTGCAATTTTGCAATCCCTTTTTTTTTTCTTTTTTCCTTAACAGCAACACTATTTGAAGCTATTGTTTCTCTTTGATTAGGAACAGACTCTGCATATGTATATATAAACAATAAGAAATCTTTAGGGCTGGGACAAAAAACTTGGGTTCTGGGGCTTGATCCATGGAGTTCAATGGGTATAGGTGCATGTAAAGAGTCTGAATGGAAAAGTACCACATACTCCACCTGATGGGCAAAACACCATTCATACATTCAGGTGTATGAAAGTGTGTGGGATGTGCAGGCTTCTGAAAATGTTCACTGTGCTTAAATGTAATGCTGACAGGTACTCTTGGTTTTTTAGTTACTTTTTGTAGACATTTTTGTATCAGTGGTATCATTCTTATTTAGGAGTAAGAGGCTGTGATATGGAAAAGTAGACTGAGGGCAAGAGTAATAGTAAGCATTGAAAAGTCTTAAGTGAACTTTCTGGAAGAAAGTCAGTGATGTCTAAAGTTAAGAAATTTGCAGGGCTTGTGTAATGTCAAGGTTTATTTACAAGAATTGTGCTGGCTTTTCTAGTTACTTGTTCTAGGCTACAAAGTACAGTATCCTAGTTTTATTCTATTTTGATTTTGTGTCATGTCTAAGAAAAAATGGGTTTCTGTGTGCTAAGGAATAGAAAACAGAGGCTTTGAAATGTCCATATAGTGTTCTCTGGTGTAAATTGTTGCCTTTTAGCAGGAAACTACTTTCTGGTTTCCCCTTAATTTTGAACGTGAGTTCTTAAGAGCTTTACAAATTCAGAGTGCTGATTGAGAATAGAAACGTTCTGGGAGAAGGAACAGTGTCCTGAGATTTCAGAACAACTCTTTGGGGAAATGTGTGTTGGCTCGGGAAGCCGCTTGGGCCTGGTAAGCTCTGTAGATGCTTAGTTGATGGGTTGGGGTGCTTTCAGTTTTAGAGTGAAGTCAAGAAATGTAAGATTAGGGTTCTCACATTAGCTTTATTAATCTTTTTTATGGTTATATAATTCTGTAAATTACACATTTTATGTCTTAATGGGCTTTTTTGTCTTTGTATTATGTCCAAGAGAGGCATGAGTAGTTAGTGCCTGTTGAAGGAATTAAAAGTGTGTCTATATATATTTATAAATCTCAGGAACATCAGTTTCAGGTGCAGGTAAGATGTTATATTTGCAGACTCTTGAGACTTTATAATCCTTTCTGTTTATTCTTTGAAACAGTAAACAAATAGTAATTAATTTAAGAATTAACACTAAGAGTAAAAATTCATATTCCCGCACATTGTCACAATCCCTAGAGATGTTTAAAACTGTATTTATTAAGGAATGTCTCTGAAACATACTTAACCGAGATTGGTGCTGAAGGAAAAGTTAGACAGATGTCAAAACACTTGTGAGATCTAGACAGTTAAAAGGATAGATTATAGAAGATTGAATATTCAACCAACTGGACTTGTATTGAGTGGTTGGTGTTTCATGTACTGCCCCAGGCTGGTGTATGGCATTGCAGACAATGATTTAATTGCCAAGTAGTCATTGTGTGGAATAACATGTCCTACAAATAAGTGAATTCTGGTTTGAAATGTTCAGGATTTTAGAAGGCAAAGTATCTTCAAAGAGGGCTAAATATTTAGATTTTCTCTTTCTTTTTTCCATTCTCCTCAGAATCATTCAAAACATAGATTTACAGATAAGCTTTTGAACTTCCTGGCACAAAGATAAAGTTCTAAACTGACGTTATATTTTTCTGTAAGATTGGGCCCATAACAGTTATTTTCTAGGAAGGCATGTTGGGATAATGTGTAGTGGAGAGAATGTGCTGCTACAAAAGTAAACGAGGTGTACATGGCTCAGACTTCCTGGTAATTTTGAGGGCAAATATAACTCACATTCTGCCTTGCCAACAAGCATCTTAGTTTCATCACCACTGTATTTTCTAAGGGTACAGTGTTTATGTTGGTACAGGTGTGGATCCCTTTGCTGCCTGTTGTGCTGTCTTGATGCAGTATGTATTATTTTCAATGAGACTGTTCTTTAGCATCTAAAACAGTTTTCCCTGATGAGACAAAGGAGAAAACCTAAAAAATCACTTCAGAGCTCTGTGTATTCATGGACTTAAGATACAATTCTGCAGATTTGTGTAGGAATTTTTGAATTCAGTTATGCTTGCACAGATCATGGGTTTGCCCTTGCAAGGGTTTCTTTCACTTACCTGCTTAGTCAGCAGACAGGGGCTTAAAAATTCTTCTGTAATATAAATTATTATAATTGTATGTGAGAATAAATATAGGAATGCTATTAAAGCAGGTACAGGCCATATTGGAATATACAGTATGTATATGTAAAACAAATATTGTTTTGCATTCCCTCCCCATAATGACTGGTATGGACAAATCCCATCCTAGTCTGGGAAAACTAGAAATTAAGGTAGTCAAAAGAACTATCATTCTAGTTCTTAGAAGGATGTCAGCCTCTTTTTGCTAAGCTGTTGCTAACTAATGATTTTATCAAAATGTTCTTTTTTTCTCTCATGTACCTTTTTATCTTCTAATGTGTCATGCAGCATTTATGAATTCTCTATTAACTGCTGCTTAAAGTGGTTGCTGAGGGATATGGGAAAAGGTGAAAAGTTCAAAATAAATAAAACACTAATGGTACCCTTATTGTGCAGAAAGCTAAACTTCATTGGCAGATGCTAAAAATATGACTTCTAAAGGTGGAATGACTAATAAGCGTAAAAATGAGACTACCCTAAAGCTTACTGCACAAAACCAAGGAATTTCTGACGTAATAGAAAATACAGTCACTTACTTGTAAGGTTGAGAGATAATCTGAACTGGCTGTTGCTACACTGGTAAACTCTTCTATTATGTTTAATTTCCTATTAACAGAAATCTGATTGTTTTCTTTATCAAAATCAAATTATCGAACAAATTTTAAATTTCAGTCTGATTTTTTTTTTATTCTTCTTTCACTTTTGTTAGTGTCAAATCAATAGTGCCTTGACCTCATTTCATACTGCTTTGGAACTTGCAACAGACCAAAGGGAGATTCAGCATGTCTGCTTATATGAAATAGGTACGTTGGATATGTTTACGCCATAAGTGGCTCATTTTCAAGTTTAGATTGGCAACTTCAATAAGCAAACTGGATTCTTTTTATGATGATTTTTAAAAAGGTTTTAGAACACTGGCCTTTGTCTTGGATGGATTATGGTAATAAACCTATCTTCTTGTTTGGGCAAGTATTTTTCATAATAAATTTTTCTGCAAACACAAGGTGATGCAAAATCAGACTGTGGAATAAAGGGCACACTGTTCGCTTACTGAATATTATTTAAAATTAGAAATTAACTCATTTAATTTGTCCATGGAATCATCATTTCTCTACCAAAAAGTAATCAGTCTAAACCTTCACAGTTTGCAGGATCTGTATTTCATGTTCATTTCCTTCTCTCAGTAGTAGTATACGCTATATGATCTTGCATACAGCTCTTTAGAGTGGAGAAGATATGTTGCTTCAAGCTGTAAATGGGAATTTGTGACAGTGGGAAATAATAAAGGAACAAGTAGTAGCTTTTTAAGTTTTAGTATCCTACAAAATATTGTATCTAAATTTTAAAAAAGGTTTTGGTAGCTGTATAGATTTGTTGTTGCTCTGAAGTGGATTCATTGTTTTGTATGGAATCTTGTAATTCAGAATTTCTCAGTAAATTTAAACCAGGCTCTAAATATATGTAGTTCATTTACATTGTTTTTAATTTTCCAGTTACTGTTGTAATTGTTAAAGTAGCTCCAGCTCTCCTAATAGACTGTGTGTTTCAATAATGTTGACACCAAATTTGAATTACTGTACTTTCCCTGGAATTAAATCAGTTTTGCTTCTAGGTTGGTGCAGCATGATAGAGATGAACTTCAAAGATGCATTTGAATCCTTCGAAAGGCTTAAAAATGAATCCAGGTGGTCCCAATGCTACTATGCGTATTTAACAGCAGGTGAGTACATTCAGTGTGTTGGGTAGATGATAAATCAGTGATGTGCTAAGGTTTTGGCACTGTTTTGTTTTGGGAAACTTGCTAGTGTGTGCAGTGCCTTCCACACTGCCTGCTGCTTTTGCAGCTTTGTGCCAGACTTGACTTGGATAATTTTGTTTGTTTATATAATGAACACTTGCGTGCTCACACGTGTACATGCCTGTGTGTACGCCCTCTCGATGTAGATACAATTAGGATTGTCAGTGTAGTGACATGTAACAGCTGTATTGCAAAGATCTAATAAATAAATCTTTAGAGGCTTGGTGGTATTACTTCCTTTAATGGTTATACAAAAGTAGTACTGACTTGTTAGTAATCACAGAGGGTACCTGGGGAAGTTGGGATTATCATGTTTGTCAGATCCTCGGTCTAGACACTTTCTTGAAGTGAGTGTGTTTGTTTTTCTGTGACCATGTGATATCTAATCTTAATTTTTCGTGTTTTGTATCCCAGTAGTGTTAACATATTTCTGTGTTCTTACAGTGTGTCAAGGAGCCACTGGTGATGTCAGTGGTGCTCAGAATGTGTTCAAGGAAGTTCAGAAGCTTTTCAAAAGAAAAAACAATCAAATTGAACAATTTTCAGTGAAAAAGGTTAGTTTTAGCATAGGCTGACTTGTTTTGGTGCAGTAATAACATTTCAGTTCTTCAACAGTATTTTCTTTTTGAAGGATGTATCTGTTTTCTTTTGTGTTGCTTCTGTAGAATTAGTGGGAAGGAAAAAGAAGGATGGAAAAAGAATAGTGTCAAATGTATTTGAAGGATCTAGCAAAGGAAATGTGAATTATCTATTCACTTTACAACTGAAGTCATTAGTAAAGATAAAAATACATGATACTGTAGTTGCTTTGGTAATTTTCCTTCTAGCTTTGCCTTCCTTACTCCTTTTTATCTTGTCTTGATTGTAAAAGCCTTAGTTCTTTTTGAAAGCTAGGAGTTGTCTAGGAAATAGCTCCCATCTGATACCTTGCAGATGTTACTGTTTCAGCATCCAATCATTGCGTAGTGGGGACTGTGAAATACAGTAAAACTGGTCAGGCTGCATACAAGGAAGTTTTAATTTTGATCAATAGGTAAGCTCCTAAATTAGTTGACAGATTTTTGCTTTTTAGTCTAAAAGTCTTTAAGCTAAGTTACCATTGACTTACTTTCATAGAATTGTTGTGTGACTTTATGAAACAGTTAAAATTACTGTTTGTGATATATTGTTTGGGAATATTATGACCCCATAAAAGGATAAATGATGGATCTCCCTTCCTTCTTTCTCCCCACTTTGCAGGCAGATAGATTTAGAAAACAAATGCCGACCAAAGAGCTGTGTGTCCTGGCATCCATTGAAGTATTATACTTATGGAAGGCCCTTCCAAACTGTTCCCTCTCGAACTTACAGCATATGAGTCAAGGTATAATATTGATTTATTTATAAGGTTTATCATGGTATAAGCTTGATTTATTTATTTACTTCTTAAAAGGTGGGTGTATAATTTTATTCTGTTGTGTGGAGTAGCTGATCGTAGTAGCACGAAAAGTTAAACTTGTGTGTATGTGTCATAGCAAAATACACTTAGAGTAACCATAGAATGATGGCCTATTACGATTCAGCTTAATGCTTCATTGCCTGCTGCATATAGTTGTTTGTTAATCATTGTTTAAAATGAAACAATAGCGCGATAGTTACTGTTCCGAGTCACTAAACAAAATATAACTAATTTAAACGTAGCTAAAAAATAACAAAATAAATCTACCGATTTGTTTCTGCTCGTCAGTTTTCTTCTAAGAGGAAGTGGGTCGCTTGTGAGGTCATCTATGACATGATAGGCGTTCTGTTTATCTTGGCTGCTGGGACCTTGGTAGTGGTGAATGATTGCCTCTTTCTTAGTCTCCAGATGTCTTCAGATATCTGTCACATGAAGATTGTGGTAGCAGTGTTTATCATGAGGTTTACTGTACTTCTCCCTCCATCCAGCAGTCACTCTTGTTTACATTCTGCAAACAGTTTCAAATTGGCTGAAGAGAAGCTCAATGTGAGCTGGCAACGTGAGCTCCCAGCCCAGAAGGCCAACTGCATCCTGGGCTGCATCACAAGCAGCATGGGCAGCAGATAGAGGGAGATGATTCTGCCCCTCTACTCTGCTCTTGTGAGACCTTGTGAGATCCCACCTGAAGTACTGCATCCATCTCTGGGATCCTCAGCACAGGAAGAGACATGGACTTGTTGGAGCAGATCCAGATAAGGCACACACAGATGATCAGAGGGCTGAAACACCTCTCCTATGAAGACAGGCTGAGAAAGTTGGAGCTGTTTAGCCTGGAGCAGAGAAGGCTTCAGGCAGACTTCAGAGCATCTTTCAGTACTTAAAGGTGTACAGCAAGAGAGCAGGAAAGGCCCTTTTTACAAGGGCATGTACTGATAGGACAAGGGGGAATGGCCTCAAACTGAAAGAGGACAGATTTAGATTAGGTATTAGGAAGAAATTATTGTGAGGGTGAGGGCACTGACACATGTTGCTAAGAGAAGCTGTGGATGTCCCATCCCTGGGAGTGTTCAAGGCCAGGCTGGATGAGACTTTGAGCAATCTGGATGAGGCTTTGAGCAACCTGGTCTAGTGAAAGGTGTCCCTGCAAAAGGGCAAGGGAGGTGGATCTACAAGATCTTTAAGGTCCCTTCCAACCCAAACCATTCTAAAATCCTCTCTTTTTAAATTTATTTTTTATTATTATTATTTCTAGATAATTACTTGCTCATTTAGAAAATAAAACAAAAATTGTCTCCTGTGGGGTTGTCTTTTTTTTTTTTTTGGTAGTTGTGAAGTCTTGGGGATTGTATGCAATTTTCATGTTAAGCTAGAAAACTACCAGTCTTGAAGTTGAGAGTCAGGACTAGTAGTGGTGTTTTGTTCTGGTTTTAATTTAAGATAATTTGTCTGTTTAAATTGAGTGATGGCAGTGGGTTATATTCAGATCTCTAGTTTTCTAGTCACAAAGGTAATGGTAGGCTTTAAAAGCAGATTTACTCACATAAAAATAAATGTGACGATTTTTTTTGGCTGTCATTCACCTTCAGAACAGTCAGCTTTTGAGGGTGTAAAGAGTATGTGTTCTCTCCTGCACACCCAGAAGCAGTGTAGATCTCCCTTGTATAAGCTTCTATCTAGTCAGTGGTTCACATTTTAATATGAAATAGCAGTACAGATGAAAATTCAGAAATAAACTTCTTCTAAGTTTGACACTGACAGGTCTGCATCAGCCATCCCTGGCTGAAGATGTGCGCAGTGAGACTGTTTTTGATACACCTTATGTGTATCTCAAGAATATGGATGATAAGGAATTTTTTTTATATATTTGTTTCCTCTTCTCATGAACAACTGAGTTGTAATTTGCTGTGGTGGATTTCCAGGGTTTTCCTCAGGGCTAGAACTTGACTTAAAAGAATAATTTGTATCCACCTGTATCCCTGTAAGTAAAACACCAAGTAACTCAAGCCTTGCAATGATGAGTTGTCAGCCCAAATAGGTCATGCAGCCAACTCTTAGTTATCCATAGATGGCTTCTTTGGGTTATGGATTAACTGTGAATGCAGAGCTGGTTAAGATCTGGCAGGGTTTATGCAATGAGGCAAAATGTTTAAGGAGCTGTACTGCTCCAGAGACAGCAGTTAAGTGATGAAAAGGCCTGCAGGCCTCCCTGTACCCTTGCCTTCTTGGAGGTGATGGTGCTGACAAGTGTGAATGGGTCCTCATGGGACTAGTCCTGGTTTAACAGAGCTGGCTCTAATAAGCTTGATCAAAATGGAGCCTGATTCATCTACAAACTGTTCATGCATTGTGATACAGGTTTTCCTGGAAACAGAGCACTACTCAGCTGAGGCACAGTCTGTCCCTGGATCGTTGACCAGCTAAGGTCTGGCAAATAAGCCTTATTGTCTCGTCATCACTGAGAATCGTGATGCCAAAATACCCTAGTCTGGGTTTTTAGGTCCAGTACAGATTTTTGTGCGTCTGTCACTTGGCTTCAGTTCAGAACAAATCAGGTTTGTCTGAACTGTTTGCCCTGTGCTCCTCATAATTTGGGACTGTGTATTTTTTTTTCAATGTGTGGGACAAACCAGTTTCCCATAACACCAGAAGGAGGTGATTGTTTCTTAGCTTGGCTTTTTAGTGGTTATTTCAAAGACTGGTAGAGAAATGGATTCTCCTCTACTTGTGAGAAGAATACACCAACTTCCTTTGACTTCAGCTCATTAATTCCTGTTAGGAATTGCTCTCATGAGTCACAAGATTTCTTGATGAAGTTCATACAAAATGGGTTGTATTTAAAAGAAGACAAATTACTTTGCTTTATGTTAATGTTACTAGCATCTCCTTTGGTTAAATTTAAACATTGGACTAAAACACACCATAGGCCACAGTTCTTGTCTAAGGAAGGATTTCAATCCATCTTGTTTGTTTACTGGAACCTTTTCATTAAGCTTGTCAGGATGTTGATGATTCATCGGCTGTTGGTTTGAGGAATTTGCTTCTTGGTGCCATACACAAATGTTTAGGAAATTCTGAAGATGCCATTCAGGTAAGTTGTTAAATGGTAATTTACACCATTAATCCTGTTTTACAAGCTATTCTGTTAAACAGTAAATATTGTTGAGTAAGTGTTAAGCAAGTCATTAGTTTTCAGTGCTAGTAATCATTCTGGTTTGTGAATTCTAACAGGTTCTTCTAAAATCTTTTGGTTTAACATGCTGTCATTATATTCTGTGTTGTAAAAGTAGTTCACTGTGCTGAATGACCATGGCAACCAATGTGGCTTATAGTAGAAAGAGTTAAGGGGAAGGTAGGAAGATAAAAGTTATAACAAAGTTCTTGCTCTGCTAGATTTACTTTGTCCAACAATGAAAATTAATCTTTTTTTTAAAAAAGTACCTTGGAGGTTGACCTTTTGAAGGCACACATTTGCTGCTTCTCCAGGACTACTAGACACTGAGAGATTTGATTTTTAGCACACATACCAAAGAAAAAATTTGCCACTGCTTCAGGTTTTGCTCCGTAGGCAGAGCTTTCCTTTTTCCTCCTCAAAATGGAATACAATTCACATATGCAGCAAGATGCTGGCTTTGAATCCCTCCCCCCTTCTCATTTCTCTCAAGCATACCTTAAATAATCTAGGTACTTCATCACTGATGTTAAAGTTCCTTGTTAGATCTAATATTTTTTCAATATGAAGTTGGAAAACTCTTGAAACACTCAATATGTTACTTTGTTAAAATCCAGACAAGTTATTTTGCCTTGATACAGTAGTGTTGGTAAAACCATCTAGGAATCTATACTGTTGTAAATTTTTAATGTATTCTTAATTTAGCTTTGGCTAATTTCTAATGCTTAAAGTTGAATGGTGCTTCTTAATTGTTTTGAAGTATCAAACAGTCAATTTTAATAAATTACTGCAGTTTTTTGGTTTTTTTCCCTTTCATTTTTACAGTACTTTCAGCGAGCTGCAAAAGATGAACTCTGCCGTCAAAGCAACTTGTACGTCCAGCCATATGCTTGCTATGAACTTGGCTGTATTCTGTTAGACAATCCAGAGGTAATAGCATAAACTGTTTTTAAACTCTTAAAATGAGCATAAGGAGTCAGCATACCACTATATAAAGAATGAAACAAAATTTATGGGTGATAATGTATGTGAAGTTTTAAGAATTTGTTTTATACCTACTGTAAAGAAAATTACTATTTTGTGTTTAGGTTTTGGTTTTTTTCAGTCCAAGAAATGGAATGTATTTAAGGTAACAATGTCTTATTTTTTCAATATAGAGAGTGTTCCTGCTGCTGGTGGCAAAAAAAGCCTGGCCAGAATGCCTTGGGTAGGCGGGGATTTCTTGTCTACAGGTGGTATTTAGTATCATGGATGCTTAGGGTCATTTTCTTACCTATTTAAAATCCTGTTGGATGCCATTCAAGCTCAAAGAATGCTTGTAGTTATCCTTTCCAAATAGAATTTGATGCCTTCCTAAAATAGCAAGTGTTTTCAGTCATTTAAATTCCATTATAGATTGCTATATGAACATTTTGATTTTCACCCTGACTAGTGAGGGTTTTGTTGTTCAGGGTGAAGAGGAAGATAATCCACCTGGCTTTCAGACTGTCCAAATGGCTTGGCTGATGATACATTTGATTGTTTAGGTCTTTGCACGTACTCTGCCTCCTAGGAAATCTGGAGAATCTTAAGAGTAGAGCAGCTTGTGCACCACTTGTGCATTTGTGATGTTTTCCTTCCTCAAACGTGTAACAGCACTACTTGGAGTTTATGCCACCTTGTGTAGTACATCCTTAATCAGATTGAAAGTTGGAGGAAGTGGTTACAGGGTAGTGACTTGAACCCCCCTTCATTGTATGTAGTGTATGGTTAGGCTGATAATATCTCATATTCTTAAGAAGTAGTTGTGTTGATAGTTTCTCATATTCTTAAGATTCTGTTTTCAGTTGGTTTTGATGTTGTCACGTATAATCATCTGAGCTGAACCTTCCCCTCTCTCAATAAAAATGATTGTCATGACAAAGGACAGAATTAGAAAATGCTTTTAAAAGTAAATGTACTTTTTGAAAAGTCTGCTGCCCTAAAACTTGGAGCTGGGCCTTGAAGCCTAGAAGGGAGGTCTGAGTCCTGTATTATTCTTTCTGCCTTTTTTTCCATGTTCCTGTTTAAATTTGATGGTGTCAGGTGTCTCTAAATAAAGGGTGTGGTGGGTAGTGAAGTTATGTGGTTATTTGGAGAATATGAGAGCAGTCCTTCCTTCCTCCTGCTTTACATGTAGGATGTGCACACAGTAACCAAACGTGCCTCATATTGGGTCTTTGAGGGCTGCACAAGCTTGGCACGTAGCGCTATAGGGAACCTGTGGTAGTGCTTAGTGTATGAAGGACATGCAGAAAACTCCCTCTTGTGGCACTTAGGCAATGAGGAGATAAATGATGCTTAACTTGAATAGAGTGGGATGAGATAGGGAAAAGCAAGAGCTAGAATTAGAGGCAAGTGGATGCTGTTTATAGAAAATTTCATTTACTAACTGCGGTGTCCTGGTAGAGCTCTACAATGGCTAAGAAAGGAATAGGATTTTATGAATCACATTTACAAGAGAGGCAGAGCATATTACAGACCTGAGCAATTTTAGTATTAAATTTATACTATGCATTTTAGTATAAAAACCATGCTGTTATTAAATTTACTTTGCTTTCAAGTTATTGTTAAGCATAATTACATGTTTGATTTACCATGTCATCTGGATCATCTTTGTTATTTTAAATTGAATTCTAATCAAGTTCTTCTTGATGTAACCATATTAAAATCTTGAAATTTACAGATGTTTTTGTAGTTGTCTTAGACACTGAGTGTAATGTAACCAGTAAAACTAGATACAGTCATATTTAGGTACATATGAATAAGGGAACTTCATTTTTCTATATCTTATTTATTTGTAAGGCTTAAATTAAAGATGTACTATATAAGAAATAAAACAGGAGCTTCTCAGCAGTAAATATTAATCTGCAAATATATTTTTATTTCCATAAGAGTTTGAAATTGAAATTTCTGGAACAACTCTTAATGCTTAATATCCATTAACTTTTTTTGTAAATAAGTGGCTTAAACTTTAATTAAGAAACAAAAACTACTGTAATGATCAATTAGTCAATTATTTGTAGCCTCGTTTGTTCCCTTATACATTCTTGTAGCTCACCATCATCGGCAGCGACTTGCATTTTCTATAGACTAGAAATACATAATACTGTCTTGGGTGCCTCATTAATATTTCTAGTTTCCTAATTTGAGAGGCTTTTGTCTGCTCAGTACCTTTTTTCATGATAGGGGTGCTACTCCAGACTGACCATGTCCTTTACTTAAGATATTTTCTGTAACATTTTTGATGTGTTTCTAATGCAGTGTTTGTCTTTTCATAGACTGTGCCAAGAGGCAAAACCTTACTGCTCCAAGCCAAGGTAAAAACCAGGCACTTTCAAATTTAGATTTTTGAGATGAGGGCATTTGGGAGGTTGTGGTTTTGGGGCAGGCGGAGTGGATGTTAAGTGGTGGTGTCCCTCCCCTATAGCCTACAACACTATCATATAGATATGCATGAATGTATGTATATGATCCACACTTATGTATGTTACATAGCTATGTATTCCTAGGTCAGTCATAGCAGAGCCCATTTTAGTGACCTCTCCTGGACTGTTAGAACCTTGCTTTTTTCAACTAAGATTTTGCTACAGAAATTTTGAAAATGACAGCTCTTCACTCCTTGTCAGTTCCAACTGGTTCCTGCCTTGGGCTAGAGCTTTTTGAATATCTCTAATAATTCTTTTGCTTTGGGTAACGTCGGGATATTGCAACATGCAATCTCCAGTTCACCTCTTTTCTTTTGGGCTCTTTTGTAACATGACTTCTTAAGCACTAGTAGCAAAATTGTCTTCATGTCCTGAAGTGAAGGAGGCTAACAGTTATATGTTTGGTGTTTTTTTTCTTGTTTTTTTTTTCCCCCCAGGAGGAATTTTCTGGCTATGACTTTGAGAACAGATTGCACGTCCGCATACATGCAGCCTTAGCCTCTCTAAGGGAAGTAGTTCCACAGTGATGAACAGCAAGTCTTGTTATCCTTTCCCACAGTTTCTGCACTTTAGGATGAAGCAGAAGAAAGAGCTGTTGGGAAGACCAGCTTTTCTTCTGAAAACCACTTGTGCCAGAGACACTTTCCCAGTATGGTCAGAGTTGGTATGGCTTAGTAAAACATTACAATTTTAACTAAAGGTAAATCAACCAGGAAGAAGGTTAAGTGACCTTGTGTTTTTAACTCATTGTTTTTTATTTTGTTTAAACCAAGCTGAACACAATTGCTTGCAACTGTGGGTGAGCCTAAAGAAGCACACGTAATTTACTTAAACAATATTGGCAAATGTGATTTTTACCTTTTAAAACAGATCTAGATCTAAAATATGCCAAGGGGAGCACTTCTGGTTTGATTAGAATAATACAATAAAAGTAATTGGTGTAAATGTTGAAGTTGGAAATGGTCAGAATACTTCTTTTTCTTTACACATTTGCCAATACACAGGAGGAGGAAAACTGTTCAGCCACAAAAAGCAGATCTTACTAAATTTTAGTGGCTTATGTCAGTTACCTCATGATTACTAATGTGTGAATTTTAAACCTCTCATTGGCTTCCATTTTCTGTCTCATCCCTCCCAACCCAGCTCAGATTCATGATATGAATTTATGTCAATGTTTATGATCTCTGCTTCTGGTACATTCCAGTCAAATACTTGGACATGCAGTTACAGCGTGGGCAGTTCTTATTTCCACTCTTAATTTTCTGAATGTAATGTTAAAATACATAGGCCAGATACAGTAATTTTATGTATTTTTCATTCAAGCTGCTCAATCTTTGTAGCAGTGACCTTTACAGGTATTCTAAAAAAAAAAAAAAGACACCAAACCACAAAACACAAACCCAAAAATTTGCTTTGGTAGTTACACCAATACTACGATATCCTGAGTCTCTGTATGGTATTTCAAACCTGTGGTGTTAAGATATTGCTATACCTCAAGAGAGCTTAAAACTTTTCTCCTGACCGTATAATTTTTAATACTTGGCCATCTGTGTGCTTATCTGTAGCTTTTTTTCCATTGCCTGTAATACGTACTATTTTCTTATGTTTTATATTCAGTTAATACCATATTCTAGGAAGGTGAATATTTTTTAAAAGAAGCTTACGAATGGAAATCTGACCAGAAAGTTAGTTGAATTATATTACTTTGCAAAGCGAAGAAAACTGGATATCCTTGGAAAGAGTTATCTAAAAGCCTTATCTTTACTTTGGTCAGGTTGCCTTAAACAGTTCCGTAGCTTAAATTTTTTTTTCTTCTTACCTTTCTGGAAAGCATGTTGCCAAAGTTTTAGACCTTGCCCACACCTAATCTTCATTGATTTGCTTTTGAGGTTACATCTAAAGCAAGACTGATACGGAGGAGAGAAGTAATGTCCTATTTCGTAGGCCAGATGAAATGGTTGAGACACTTATTTCTCTCTAGAAATACTCAGTTCTGCTATGAAACTAGAGCAGGTAAACACTTCTGTTGCAGTTCCTGAAGGAGAGGAGGGACTCTTAAAAAAAGCAGTTTTATTTTTCTATAATCTAGGTGTGTTACAGATAGTACACTGGAGTTTTTTTATTCCATTTTGACAGTAATTAGGCATAAATGAGTGTTCAACCTTATTTGGTCAATCCAAATAAGTATTGACTAGAAAATGGTATATTGTATATATATAGTGACTGCTTAGAGTTCAAAAAATTATTTTAAAAATGGGCTTTAAGGTACTTGAAATCTTATTTTGTCGTATCTGACTTTTAATGTTTTGCAATCAAAGACACAGTCTATTCTGGGTAAATAGGTGGAAACAGTACAGTACTGGCAAAAATCCTTTACACTCCTTAAATATATGAGACTAGGCTGTTCAGGACACAAAGCACCTGCATGCAATTTGTGTTGGGATATTTAAGGTCTGCATACTTGGAGGTAGCTGGCAAATTGTAGTAAATTTACTAAAAGGCCTGTTCTCACCAGGCCAGGAGTGGGAAAGACACTATATGTTCATGTAACAGTTTAATAACTGTGCAAATTGCGGCTTTTCTGTGGACTTAGCAAATCATCACAGCTGTATGTTTCTGTATTAATTATTTTTTCCTTCTCCTCGTAGGAGAATCTCCTACATTGTAAATTGCAAAATTATTTTTTATGTTAGATTGTGCCTGTGATGAGAAAAATCTCAACGGTATTTTGTGTTAACTGTCAAGTTTTTATACTTTGGAACTCGGAGGCATGGTCTAATAGCAATAATGGAATATGCATCTTGCTAGTTAATATGTTAAGGCCATCTTTACGGGGACAGGTTATTTTTTGTTGATGTTGATGCAGTTTTTATCTCAATATGACTCCTTTCAAATAAATAACTAGACTTTTTAGATGTCACAAGGTGGCATATTTATTGTGATGTACTGTAAACGTTGTTAATTTACAGAAATTGCACTTTTATATTTCTGAGTAAAATTAAAAGAAATGTGGACATGAGTTTTGTTCCTTTGCTCCTTGAGTTTGTCTTTTAATTGGTGGCCTCCTGAACAAGAGGATAGCAAGTATTGGGAAAACTTCTGGGATGTCAAGTGACTCTGTAACAAAGTTTTCTAGTCAGCAATTACCTCTAGTCTTTGTTCTTCCAATATAATTACAGTCTTCTGGTTTAGAAAGTGAGTTACATGTCATGTTGAGCTCAACCGTAGAGTGAACAAGGTCTAAGAGACATTTTTAACACATGAAATTCACTTGTTCATTGAAGAAAAAGAACCACATACAGTTGTATTTGTTGTATTCCTACACCTTTGAAAAATGTTTCTAATTTACTCTAAAGCAAGCACTTTAATTTCTCCTCTCTCTGACTTTGAATGCTTGTTTCATATTCTAGTTATGCTTTATTCCTAAATAAAATTCCCTAAATACTGTATTGAATTGCTTTTCAATTAACAACAATGTGATTGTCTTTCCAACAATTGATTGTACTTGTGTTTAAAGATTGCTCTGTACCTGCTTGAAGTTTGAACAGGAGCAAGTGTTAGGTTGGTGTAGGGGCCTGTACATGGTGTTACAAGGGTGCCAATCAAACTTTGCAGTGGGGTGAAAGCAGCACTTGGATTCCCTTTCCAGCCACCATGCCGAAATACTAACAGCGGAAGGAAGCCCTTTCACAAGAACTTATGCAATCCCAAACAGGTACTGTTCAACCTAACCTTAAGAAGTAAATGTATGCTTATCTGTCTTTTAAGGCAATTGGGCAGCCATTGTCATCTGCCAGAAGCTTTTCAGGCAGCCTAGACCACAGTGGAAAACTGAAATTTAGGAGGAATAGACTCCACTGAAATTTAGGAGTAAGATGAACTGGTATGCTGACTCTGATCCTTCATCCTGAAGGAGCTGTATGACAACTTATTTTCTATAAATTCTAGGAAAAAAAGGCAGAAAGGGCAATTGTTTCACTGCTCATTACAGTTTGAGTAGATGCTTATGCAATATTGTCTTGCATTCACATGTTTTCAGGTGAGCTAGAAAATACTTCAAAAACTGCTTTTATCTGGAAAAGTTGACTTACAGAATATGGAAATACACAGGCAAGTTCTAGTTCTGGTTCCCTTTGATCAAAGGACAATTAAAGTATGGTATTTTATACAGAGATTCAAAAAGCATGAGAAGCTGCTGTTTCTGCACTGAGTTATCTGTGTCTATATACAATGCTCTTAATTTATGGCAAAGCACATTCTTGTGTGAAATTAGCTGGTGTACAAGATACACTGGAAAAAAAGATGAAGTTCTTTTACAAAAGGCCTAACTTTGTCACAATCCTGGAGAATCTGTATTTTCCCTGAACTTCAGAACTTGTTCAGTTGAAGTTATAAAAGTGTGCCATTGTTAGGAGATGGTGAAAAGTGTTATTCCCACTCACCACCCCTTTTCCCCACCCCACCCGTTTCCCAGCAGATGGTAGGAAATTCAACTTGAGGCAGGCTTTCCAGAATTAAATGCTGAATTATTTCTATTTCTGACCATTTTTTTAATGTATGTTTGGGCCTCACAGCTGGACCCAGCATAGGTTACCAGGGTAGGTGCCTATTAGAGTTGCATATTGCTTCCCTGCTTCTGCTCAGAACCCCTTTGCTTAGTACTCAAGATTTTTATGACCTACGTAGCCTCTGTGTTTTAACTGCCAGTGCGTTTTAGCCAGGAGGAGTTCATGTGCTGCTGTCTTACTACAGCTGTTAGCCCTAAGTTTTTCAGTGCTGCTTTTTCCAAAATGCTGTGTGTCTTTTGATGTAACTCATTCCGAGATGGTGTTCCAGTCAAATAAATTGCTCCACTCAGCAGGACTGGCTGGTCCTCAGTGTTTTTCAGTCATTTCTGGCAAGCTGTGCTTACCTGTAGGAGATGTCCAGGTGGGCAGAGAGAAAAACCAACTGGCTTAAGTTGAAGATTTGAGAAGGGAGGGACAAAGACGTTGTTAGACTTTGCNGCAGTCTTTCACTAAAAGCAGTATGTTTACTGTATTGAAAACAGATAGCTGTACTTCTGGGACATAGATCTCTTCCCAGTTAATGATTGACCTGGTCCTTTTTTTGGTAGAAAAATATGGCTTATCTGTGGCCTTGATTTGACAAAAGGTGGTAGGTAGGACAAGGTAAATGGCCTCAGTTGGGCAGACTACTTGTAGGCTGACAGGTTCTTCCCTTTGGGGCCAGAGGGGCACATGAATCAGTAGAGTAGCTGATAAGATTATTCTCCATGGCTTCCAAAACCAGCATTCAAGTTCCAGCACAGTGAATTAGTTTCCAGACATTTTTTCATATAGCTGCTCTGAAGTTTCAGACCGACAAAATTTTATGTTAGGGCCTGCAGCCTTCTTAAATATTTATGGATGTTTATGGTTCTGTTACCTCTGATAATATATTTTTCTATGGTTTATGACATTTGTAGTTAAGTGTCTTTGAAGCTTTGGCTGCGCAGAGTTTTGCAGACCTAGAGTTTTGAAAGTTTTTCAAAGAAGCAAATTTACAAGTTTTAACTTCTGCTCTGTATTCAGTGAGGATGGTTTCGAAGTAACCACATGACTAGCAGGTATGTGTAATGCCTTTATGAAGTCCTGCTCCGCCCATATGTTCTCAATACAGAAATCCAGACTTTGGATTACTATCCCTACTCAAAAAATGATAAAATTTCTAGTTTTTGTATATATATATATATATATATATATATATGAAGGGGCCAAAACCCAGCTTTCACCAAAAGGAAGCTCGGTAAATTTGAATCATAAACCTTGGAAAACAAGAGCTGACAAACATCTTGTGATCTGAAGAAATTTGGACCCTTGTCCTGAGACCTGTTGATGTGCAACCCGGCGATACAAACCTGGTTCCAAGCAGAATTAAGAAAGGACCTTTTAAGATGATTGTTAAAACCATGTCTAAACCCCTGTAATCCCTCCATCCCCCATGTAATGCTACTTGAAAAAAAATTAACTATTTGAAAATTGCAGTAAAAACTTGTGTAACTCCCTAATTAACATAGGTTGTCCCCTTCATTAACACGTCCAGCCTCGATGCCTTTAAAATTGTGTTTTCGCGTTCAATAAAGCATTCCAGTTTTCCCCATGCTGGAATTGTGTCTAGTTTTATTTTTCAGACCGTCACTTACATATATATATTCTTGAAATGTATCCTGTTATTTCTATAGGAAAGCTATTCTTCCTGATTTCATAAGTCATAACATATTAATATTTGATGTTTTTAATTTTATGGTCTGTGTTGTCACTCTCCAGGACGGAAGACTGAGAAATTACTTTCTAAGGATTCTTTTATGGAAGAAGCATTTTGTGGTGAGTTTACCATTAATATACTTTTCTGTGAATGAACTTGAAAGTGATAGGTCATTCAAAATTAACAGAGTATTCTGTTACAAATGTGTAACTTTTTAAAGGAAGCTATTGTAGGTTTTCTAAATGCTTTAGCAGCAACAAATTTTACTGCTGGAATTCCCCTCAGATTTATGTAGAGGTGCAGACATCTAAGAATGCAAGAGCAGGTAGGTAGATGATGGTTTTCCAATGGTGATGAAGACTAATCTGTACTAATGTTGGTGTTTAAAAATTTTTTATCCTACAGCAGACTCCTGATCGTGGCTTGCCCCTCTGGTCTTTCTACCTTTGTGATCTTCAGAAATAGTTTGTGGTAACCTTGAATATACAGCACTACCCAGTTACCTTCTGTGTGCTTGTTTTGTTGGAACAGAAAATGATCTTATGTGTACCCACTGAAAATGTCCTGGAAAGCAAATGTTACCAGCCCATGTCCCTGGGGTTTCAAGGTTTGCCCTTGCAATCATAAGGTTCTGCAGTACGAATGGAGCTGTTAGTAAGGAATAATCTCATTCCTTTTTGGGTGCAGCTGCCATGGCTGAAGAGATTACAATTTCCAGCCATTTTCTCTGAGCTCCTGCCAGAGGCCACTAAGGAACATTGCTTCTCAGGTGCTATATTTTGCAGTTTGTTGGTTCAAATCCCTTGGGTTTTGTATGTCACCTGTCTTATAAGGCCAGGCTGTAACCAGGTGATGGGTCTGTGCACCCACCCGCTCCATCACAGCTGGGAGAGGGAATGCTGGGAGATGTGGCTGCAGCCTTTCTGCTTTCCACAGGTTGCAGCATCATGTGCTGGGAAGGAATGTCTCTCTTTTGGCTACTAATGGGGAAAACTGGGGTTTCAGCAAAGGCAATTCCTTAGAAGGGTTCTGCCTGTGCTGTGTTGGGCAAGTCAGTGGCAGAAAGCAGGAGTGGGTTTCATGCTCTTGTGGGAAGGGAAAAAAGGCAGCGGCTCATGGGGCTTGAATGCTGAAGGCAGGTGCAGGGCCTTGCACTTGGCCTTGCTGAACTTCATGAAGCTTGTGTGGGCCCCTCCTCAAGCCTGTCCAGGTCCCTCTGGATGGCATCACTTCCCTCTAGTGAATCACCTGCACCACTCAGCTTGGTGTCATCTGCAAACTTGGTGAGGGTGCACTTGATCCCACTGTCATTGAAGAGATTAAAGTTTTGGTCCCAGTACAGACCCTTGCGGGTCCACTTATTGCTGGTTTCTACCCATCCAGCCAATTCCTTATCCATCTAACAGTTCTCCCATTAAACCCTTATCTTTCCAGTTTAGTAGCCAGAATATTGTGGGGGACTGTCAAAGACCTTACAGAAGTCTACGTAGATGACATTCGTAGATCTTCCACTGATGGAGTCACTCCATCATACAAAGCCACTAGGTCAGTCAGGCACAATTTGACCTTGGTGAAGCTCCAGCTCGTGTGGGTTGTCTTTAACCACCTCTCTGTCTTTGTGTTTTGATGTATTGTCCAGGAGGATCTGTACCATAATCTTACCAGGCATGGGCTGCCTGGTCAGTAGCCCCCACAATGCTTATCTTTTTTTAAAAGTGGGTGTGATACTCCATTTTCTTCAGTCACTGGGGACTTTGCCTGATTTTCATGACT